GTGATATTACTTCGTTAGTGGTGCATCGACGACTCGTCGATAACACGTCTGACACAGTAATGCAGTTTAGAACCGACGTCACTTTTGCTTCGTATTTCTTACTTTTCGGCCCAGCTCATTCTAGAGGACGTTAAAAATTGCAGACCGTTTTTGGGGCCGCGAGGTCCCATAAGGCTGCCACTCTTTAGTAATCTCTCCTCGCTGTTACTACTAACACTTTTTCTATATTTGTACATTATTTTCTATTTCGTACTCATAGAACACATTGACAAAGTTTGATCGTTTAAAACTGAAGCACTCTGTATACTGATCGAGTGTTTTTAATGAATACTTGCGAGAACGCTCACCGAGTATTAGTTACGGGCTCACGATTTTACGAGGAGAAGGCGTCGTAAAAAGCAGACGAAAATTCTTAGCGACACGCGGAAAGGACTGTATCTACCTGGGCTCAGCTAATGCGGAACGCGCATCAGAGGTTTAGTGCACGGCACAGCAGTTTAGCGATGCGTCGTCGTTGCAACATAACGGCGTCGAACATTAAACTGACATCGTGCGAGTGAGCGAGCGAGCCAGTTCATCCTGCCGGTAGTTTATCGTCGCAGGATTTCCTCCTTTCGTCGTTTGCCCGCCGCAGCCTAATGGGAACATTTACTCTGAAGGGCTAAACCGCCTCCGACCGTTCCGGAGGATAGATCCCCGCCGAAAGATCAATACTCGGACGGATGTCGAGTTGTTTAAGTGTGTTTACTACGATAAACAGGTACATAGCTAGAGCAGAGACGATGGAGAGACACGGCAGCCGTGAATAGCCGTAGAACAATCTGATTCCGGCGGAACACCTATACGGTGTTCCATGTTGTGGATTAACACATCATGCAATATTTCGTACAAAACGGACACAGGAAGAAAAGGTACAATTAAGTGCCTTTAAATCAATACCCGTAACTGTTGCAACAAAACTATTTTATACTTGATAAGATTGAAAGATTTGGTTTTACAAACGAGGGATGAATTGTATCTCAGAAAGGAAAACAGATTATAGAGAAGAGTTCATGTTAATATCAAGCGCAAAGTGTATCAGCGGAAACGGAAAACGTGCCAGGTGTTTGAATAAACATTTCAAAATATGTAGTGGATTCTACCTTTGAAAAAGGATCATGCGAACGGAGCAGGAGGGCGAGAGCATTCGATATATCGATGCTTGTCCCTCGTCCACGCGACGACGACGACGACGACCCTTCAAGCGACGCGGAAAAATCGCAGGAAAATTCAAACGCGCGACTTTCTCGTTTAACCTCGGTAACCACCGAAGGGAACGGTCTGTTGCCTCGGAAGTGGATTTCTCGGCTAGTCGAATGCGAAATCGTCGCCAGACAGCTGCCCCTGGGGCACCACGCGATATTTTATTCTTATCTATGCCTCGTCGCTCAGGTAATTTCTCTTTTGGCTCGTACCTGCCGACTTCGGACATCACTGTATTCTTTGAGCAAGATAAAAATAACCAGAGTCATATATGTACATTGGATTTTATTCATACTTTAAGGCAAAATGAATAAACAGTAAAATCTAATTTGATTTCAAGTTATTTTAGTTTGCTCTATTGAAAAGAATTTTTTAATCTCCTTCGCAATTTTCAAACGAAACGATATAGTAAAAATGGAAAATAATCCGGAAGTTAGACTAGAGTGTAAAGTTTCTGAGGAGAATCTCTTGAAAGGAGAACATAAAAACGTCGGAATAATTCATACTTCGTATCCTCTTACTACTCCGTTGCGAAACTCGATCGGCTACTTATAAAACCGGAAAAACGATGGTCTGTAGCACGATGAGAGGAACGTACAGTTAACGAAGCGACTCGCCCTGGCTAGAAGTAAATTGAAATTGGATGCAGTGACGCGAATTATTACAATCTTTCCGGTTGCGTTTGGAAGCGATGCATTTTTCCCAGACTCTCTGCTTGCGTATCGTTGCCATATATTTAATGGCTTTTCATTCGCATCTTTCATTACTAAATATTCCGCAAAAGACAAAGTGGTTGTTGCAATTTCCCTTCAGCCGACAACAAATTCAACTCGAAACATGATAAGAATTTCATTATTTTTTAAACGTATTCAGAAATTTGTCACTGGTAAGATGAATGTACATGGATAATGAAAACGAACGTTGAAATTTTTCCCAAGGGCCAGTATTATTGCTACCCATGTGATTCATAAAACTGACGATGAAGATATATTGTTTGGATGAATGACTTTACTATAGAATCCTGCAGTAATCTGACAAAGACTTTTTATACCATTCACTGCGGAATGATCTTGTTGCACGATGCCAATAATTCTCTCGTGATTCCACGATTTACTCGCTGGTTTAATGACGAGATTAACACGAACGCAGTACAATATCCGGCGAAGGAAATATTAAAAGAGTCAGTTCGCATCCCTTCGATTCTATCCACGTGACGAGCCGATTAATGGTTGGGAATAATATCCGACGACTTCAACTCGAAACAGAGATACGAAAATGGCAAGGAGTTCGTGAGCGCAGGGTAAGGAGGCGGAAAAAACGTCGAACCAAGCGAGACACAGACGAGGTTGGATAACAGATTGTGACGTATAGAGCGAGGAAGTACGAAACAGAGGGCGAAAAAGAGGAAGGAATTCCATCGTAAAGCAACGCGCAGCCAGTGATTTGCGACTGGTCCTACGGGTATTTCCGTGGCCCGGACAAAATAAATTGTTGTTTCCTCTCGAGAATTCGAGGAGGACGAACCCGTAGCCCGCGAATGCCCCGAACAATATCTTTAGTACCTTCGAGAGCCGGGAGAGGTGAAGCCACCCACCCCCACAGCGCCCTATATCTCTCTCTCTTTTTCTCCCTCTCGCTTTCTTTCTACACAGCACCGGTCGGTGTCCCGCTTGAACCGCGTTCAAGACTGAAATTTATGACACGTCGCGCATTTATATTCCCGCACCTTCCATAAATTTTACTTTACGCGCATGTAAGTGGCTCCACTTTTGTTCATAGATTCCTACGACTGTCAGATTTATGCTCGCGTACGTGCCACGATTCGATGAGACACGGATCGGGCGGGAACGGAAATGGAAGGATACTGCCTTAATACGTGTTAGGTATCCCATCCAAACCGACCGAAATAAAGACATTAAGATACCTTCATGAAACTTGATTTATACATTCGGGGACGTTCCTGAACATGTCTGTCAAATCTCATTCAATTCCGACCATTAGAAGTGATTTGCTCTTATAAAGCGTGTGGTTTTACAAAATACAATTTTATTGATAGTCCAGTCAGTGAATTATTAATTCACATTAGTACATATTTCTTGTATTTGAACTGATAATGAGAAAGGATCAAAATTTTGGTTGCAGATTCGATGAATCATACTTTTCGCAGTTCTGCCGGGACGTAAACATTAAACCGGATAGATGTACGAAGAAATTTCATCATTCACTCGTCGTGAAGTGAAAACCCTTTCGAAATAGAATTCCACCCTTAACCCGTGCCGTCCCGTTTGATAAACTCTCGCGAACTAATCCCAGCCCGTCTCCTCGATTATTCGAAAAAAGAAATTAAAATCGACGACTGGATCGATTCCGACCGACCAGGCGTTGCGATTTTCTCTTGAAAAAAAGTTTCTTGGGCCGGTGGTTCCGTTAGCTTATATTACATTGACGGGCACCATGCGATGATCGGTTTACGGGAAAATCGTTGGCTCTCTCGTCGCCGGGCGACGTTTTGTCCTCGTAAAAAAGGTGGGAGCCAATCCAGAGGATAACGGACAACCCGGCGGGAAAAGCTTTCACCGTAAGAGATCTGGGCCATACCACGCTGCACCGGCAGCCTGAACTTTCCCAAATTTTTTTCCTTGCTCCGCGTTTCTCGACCGTTTGGTATTATAAAAGCTGCATCCTTCCCCTGTTGCCCTCTTCTCTCGCCCTGAATCTCTATGGATCGAACCGCGTCGCCGGATAATAGGATGAGGATCGTACGTTTTGCTTGCCACGGTCTGCGGCCGCTTAAATCGAATCTCCCCGGATACCGTTGCAAGGGATGCAGAGCAGGGGGATAAGTAGTTAAGATATCGAATGAGATCACGTTTTTTCTTCCACGCGCGGTCCTATTTCCAACTTTACGCTATCTCACCATCACATTCGACGAGGATCCGTCCTGAATCTGCGAAATAGGCTTTCGCAAATGACTGCAGGGCGATATCCATTTAAGTATATCTTGATTTCTTACTTGTTTCCCTCTTTAAAACTAATTCTTCGTCATTAGAGAGAGAGAGAGAGAGAGTGAGAGAGAGGCAGATCATTTTGAAAAACAATTTAAGTATTAAAATTATTATGATTTAGTGGTGTTGTATATGAATAAGAACGGAGGTGCTGTATTTAAACGAGAAGCTGCGGTTTAGGGGCAGTTTGCCACCGTTACAGTCTCTGGGTAATCTTAATCCAATTAAACAGCATGTGCAATGGAATTACGTTGCGTAACCGAGCCCGGAAATTCGATTAATTTTTATATACTAGGCCAATCAGTTTGGCAAACATTCCTCGTTTAATCAACCTGCAAGTTAGTAGAATTCCGTTTCGATTGAATGAAATCATCTGCGTTTCAATATGTGAAGCACTTTGAGATTACAAAACGTTTAACTAACATTCTTAGGTGACTATTAAACGAAATAAGAACGCAATTGTTTTTTATGGTTCATATATCGAACTTTTCAATTTTCTTCAATATGAAAGAAAGAAAAATAGCAGTCTTCTTAAAAACTTCAAATTCGGATTTCTGAAATTTTGTGCAAACAGAAATTTAACAACAGTGTGTTACTTCACTCTTGTCGTTAAAACAAAAACGAAGGAAAATTACTAAATCTCGAACTTTCGAATTTCTTTCTTGTATTTGTCCATAAGTAAAATAAAATAGATAAATGGAATAGGAAATATTACGGGACGAGATTTGTTGATTTAAAAAAAAACTGAGTATCTTCCAAATTTAATACACAATGTATTGTATAAGAGATTATAAAATAACAATTTCAAAACTATAACTTATGAGTTAATCAGTCATATATTTCTCAGTTTGTATTCTGCTATAACGATTCATTTTAGAGAGTACACATTAGTTCGAAGGGACATTCCTCATCTCGCGTGGGATAGAGAGCTTTCATTGTTGATAATGGACATGGCTCGTACACAGGACAGCCTGGTAAAGGTACTTGTCTTTCTTGATGCATAAACAGAACGTAAGGAAATCCGGAACAACTGAAATAAGCAAATACAGATTACAACAGTTTAACAATCATACTACACGCACATAAATGCTCAGTATATTTACTCGTATAAAACGAATGCGATGTTAGCTCCGAAAGTATCAATAACTCCGGTTCTCCATGCCCTATCATTGGCATACAGTGAAAATAAATTATGTGTTAAATGCTGATCGTCTTTATAAACACGTAATAAAGCCAACAATTTCAGGATCGTTCCCGAGTGAGTAAAATACGCTGATACCGATGGCCCATCCGCTGACCTGTAAGTGAATGATGAATTAATTACATAGTATTTATTGTACTTAAATTTTATATGAGAAAAGGAAGAGAAGTTAGGAACATACAATAAAAAGTTGAAAACATCTCTCATAGCAGGGCAGGCTTGTTCGTAGGTCAACTCGTAACCATATCCATCTACCCAATAGTATCCTAAATCTTCCGCAAATTCCAATACCTGAAATATACCGATTACAATTATATTATTAAGGTGACATAAGTATAATTCCTGAATACCTACTTTTAAATCGTGTAGGGAGAATAGTTTACACCACGGTGACTCTGAATTTTTGTACCACGCAGTCTCGAAACCGCATATTAAATACATTAAGTGTATACTTTCTGAAATACAAATTTTCTCGTGTTTATTTCTCTTCTTGAATTCTCGCGTATCTATAATTAATCATTACCATAATCAATTTTATGGCCGATAAGTTTGGAAATATTCGCCACCATTTTCTTGTAAAATTCGCTTTCCAAGAACCTTCTTTTCTCGATTTGCGCTGTTGCATTGTGCTTCACCTCGAGTTGCCAACGCTGACAACGTTTATAAAACTATAAACTTAAAAACGGAATGATTAGAAAACAAGAAAGATTACACCTCCCTGCACTGATATGATTGTAAATTATTACTCTCAATACAGGATCCGCATGTTCGGGTTTTGGATATTGAATTCTCTCACTGTTATATTTACCAAACAGACCAATAGCGAAACTCTTTGCACTTTTCTCTGTGCGTTGAGTGGCAGTGTACTTAAACTAAAAAAATCTTATTTAATAAACATGACACGGAACTATATGTACAAAGTTACACATTCGTTACATATTCGTTAAACGTTACATTACATTCATTCTTATATGTATTACCCTATAAGTTTGATTGTCGTAGATTTCTGGCATGAGACTAGGAAATCTGGACTGATATCTTTCACTAATATCAATCATTTCATTTTCACCTTCCTCGACTAGTTTCATCACATCGTCTTCAGTGAAAGTGATCTCCCATTGTATGAATGAATCTATAATTTCCTTTGACAATTTTGTTTTATTACTCGCATAGTTTTTTAAGATAAGCTTTTGTATTTGCGGCAGTCTCTTAATCAAATTTGATATATGCTTTTTACCAGGATATCTTGCACCGTGTCTTAAAATTAGCCATATCTTCTTTGGCTCACATCCTACAAAGATACTAATTAGCTAACAATAAAATTATTTAATTCCGTAATTAAATAATACTACCTGGATAATCCAAAGGAGAATCATCGTTATTCATTACAAGTCTATATGGTGTTTTTGTTGCCAGCCTACACTTATAATCGTTGTTATACAAAAGGCAATTATGGGCGAATATTCGTTAAACGTTACATTACATTCATTCTTATATGTATTACCCTATAAGTTTGATTGTCGTAGATTTCTGGCATGAGACTAGGAAATCTGGACTGATATCTTTCACTAATATCAATCATTTCATTTTCACCTTCCTCGACTAGTTTCATCACATCGTCTTCAGTGAAAGTGATCTCCCATTGTATGAATGAATCTATAATTTCCTTTGACAATTTTGTTTTATTACTCGCATAGTTTTTTAAGATAAGCTTTTGTATTTGCGGCAGTCTCTTAATCAAATTTGATATATGCTTTTTACCAGGATATCTTGCACCGTGTCTTAAAATTAGCCATATCTTCTTTGGCTCACATCCTACAAAGATACTAATTAGCTAACAATAAAATTATTTAATTCCGTAATTAAATAATACTACCTGGATAATCCAAAGGAGAATCATCGTTATTCATTACAAGTCTATATGGTGTTTTTGTTGCCAGCCTACACTTATAATCGTTGTTATACAAAAGGCAATTATGGGCGAAGGTGGGTAGCACAATTATTGCATTAATAATTAAAAATATATAAACGTTCAATATCCCCGGCATCTTCGTAGTAACATTCATCTGCGTAAAACCCATAAAATACAGTACGTTATAGATATCAAATGTTACACATCACTACGAAATTACTAAACATGTTACAACTTAGAAATATACAAATAGATAATTCATTATAAATCTTATTTTGTATAAGAAATATGTGTTGAAAGTGACTTAACCTTTGTATTGTATCATAGAACTCTTTATCTTGTGCGGCAAACACGAACGCGCAATGTACTAATCTTAGGTCTAAATAAAATATAAAATGTACAATTGCTAAATTTGATATAATCAATTAAGTATACGTTATTATATTCATATTAATATTATATCACCATCACCGGCCAACGACAAAAGTTTAAATCCAAAGAAAAACAATCAGTACTCAGCATGGTACGAAGAGGGGTCAAAGTCAAAGGGTACAATTGAAGATATTGGCGCGTTTCACTGAACTATTGGACGTTGTTTTATTTTGATAATAATCATATATTATTGGAATAACATGAAGTGACTTTTGTTTATAACAATTAAAAATACATCAAAAATAAGATTTAAAATACTATTTCATTTTCATTATTGTTAAAACATATTAGAATGAAAGTATTCTAACCTTCTCATTTCTTTAATTTTTATACTTAATAACGCATAAATAAACTAAAATGACTTATTAATTGTAACTATAAATTTGCAAAATTTTTTATTCAAAAGAAGCTATTTACATACAAAAATAAAAGCTGTGTTGTTTGATGTATGAATAAACCACAATTGTTAATAAATGTTAGTATACTTACTATTCCAAATAGAGAGATAGTTACAGACTTTCATATAAGATAACAAAAGTTGTAATTAAACTGCTTTGTAATTTAGATGGGGAAGAAAAGAAATATTCAGTCAACACCTGCACCAGTACCTGGTCGAGTGAAAGTTGAAATAAAAGATGAATTAGGTAAGGAGGAATGTTATATTTCCTTGTAATATATTAGAAGCTTCATGTCATTCATGTACTGATTAATGTTAGAACATACACTGTTTCAGGGGACAGTGAAGTTCTTGTTGCAAGAGATCGTTTGAAAGGTGCTCTTAGAGAATTATTGCAACATAGTGACACAGGATCATCAGCTGAATCAAGTGAAGAAAGTTCTGTGCAAGAGAAACATCATATGAAGAGAATGTAATCTTTCTATGTACTCTAATTGACCTCTTTCTGTTACCAAATAATAGCACTTGTTTCATAATGATAACATGTATAGGTCTAAGTCTATGGGTTTTTCACAACCACGTAAAGTACGTCGCCGCAGACAAGTCCAAGCTGACACCTTGTTCCACCATACCTATGTAATGAAATTATTCGATAGAAGCGTTGATTTAGCACAGTTTCAAGAAGACACGCCACTCTATCCTATATGCAGGGCATGGATGGCGAATCAGCCAAGAAATCCTAATCTGGTACCAAAGTGAGTAATAAAATAATAATTGTAAAATTTCATATGTTTAAACATCATTCATTCATTTTGATATTCATACATAACGGTCTTATATTATTTAGTTATTTCTAATACAATTTCGTAGATACGTATTAGGTAAGCATAATTATGGATAATAATGTGTATAAAGACTGTTGAAGAATACACCATTAATACTTCTAAGATCTAATTTGTGTGCTGTTGGCTTGTTCAGAATACGTAGTCCGAGCCCAGAAATAGTAAATGAAATTAATGTAAGCAACAACATATTGGATAGTAATGGAGAAATTCGTGATGTTTATTACTTGCCGCCACCGCTACCTTGCGAGGAAGCTATACCGAGGAATCGTATACCATCACCAATACCTAAAGAGAAGGAAGAATTAAATTTAGATTATGTAAGATATCTAATATCGTAAAAATTCTCATTTTGCATCTATTATACCTTTTATGATAGACACACATTATACATGATCGTAGGATGGACAAACTTTGAAATCACGAGAAACATTGTTAAAAGAACATAGAGTACACTGGAACGCTGTGCGGAAAAAATGGCATCAACAGGCACATAAAAATGAACAACGTTTTGCGCAGAGTGCAAGCATTTTAAATACTATATTCAAGAGGTCTGTATGGAAGAGTTTGCGTGGATAAAGAAGTGGAATTATGTAAAAATATTTCTAAGAGTATATTTTAATGTTGCGAAACATAACTTTATTATAAAAAACATTTTTGTTTCAGGGCGCAATCAGAATTTGAGTAGTCCATTTATTGGCAGATCGTTGACATCCTATTGACAATAAATTAAATATGACTTTTCCATGAATTATGTATAAATATCTTTTTCTATTGTGTATCTTATGTCCTATTTGTAGAAATATATTTCCCTTTTTATTACAATATAATTAATACCGCTACCGCTACTCTCTTGCCAATAAAATCCAATAACAAGCAATAATCAATGCTTGGAATGAAAATTTTTTACAAGACAGTGATATGTAGCACAATTATTTTGATTCTCGACAAATTTTTATTTGTAGATCGACAATAGTTAATTAAAGATGTTCCTTGTTTATTTCATACACTAAATTTGTACTAAACATTTTAACGAAATTACTCGTCTACAACGAATGAACTATAAATAATATACTTTAACAGTGTTACTAATCTTAATAGATCTAAGTAACTACTTACAATTATTTTATCACGGGTATAAAAAGGAACTTGGAATAGTTTTAATTGCCTGAACATTGAAGAGAGGCAGTTTTTCTTTAATAGATTGTTGTTGTTACATAGAACATTAATTAAAATATTAATCCAACACGTACTTGTACACATATATCCATGGATCTTGATGCTAGAATTTTCTTGGAGATGTGATTCTAATCACTAGGAGAAAGGACAAAACGTGTGGCCGTCGAAGGCTTGAGAATTACAAGCTTTTTTTATTTTGGAATATTGACAGTCGTAACTTACAGTACGTACTTTCAACAAGATTGTTTCCCTACTTTCAGTTCATTACATATCATTCGATTCGAATGCAATTTGTAACTGAAACTAAAAAAATTTTTCCGACCTCTCTCACAGAGCAATTGTAATTTTCAAGACTTCTTTGAGTATTACGTATATATTTTCACCATTATATACCCCGTACTCTTCTCTATCCCTTTTCATTCATATAAAATGTAGCTAAGAAATAAATAACATAATTTAAATCATTTACTTTCATAGCTATCGCTATATTATTTCCACCATTTGACCTGTACTTCATAATCATATATTATTGTAATAACAAATGTCTGTTGTTTGTTATAAACAAAAAGTTTACTTCCTAATGTATTTTATGAATCGTAGGAAATGATCTCGCGCTTGACAGCTACGCGGTGCGCGCGTAGCCGGAAGATTTCACGTAGTCGTGGAAGTGTATTTTGACAGAATCATTTAATTCAGCGGCTATTGCACGTTTCATAGAAGTTCACTTGTCTGTGAGAGATAACTCTAGCACTTGTCGAAACGTTTCTTCCTCCAGCATTCGTCGCTGTTCCTCCTCCAATTGCTGTAATTCCGATAATCTTAATGCCAGTCGTAATTGTTCCGCAGTATCTTCGAGCGTGTCCGAATCCTCTGCCTCGTTTCCTTTGTCCAAATTATTCCGACTGCTCGCACATCCTGCAGTACCGTCCTGGCATAGCGCTAGGCTCGCTTGAATAGCTCTGTGTTACAAAGTATAATTAATCAATTGAAAACAAGATTCTATAGTAGTATTGGTTTTTGTACGAGAAATATATAAAAAATCGCTTAGTGTCTACGAGATACAAAATATGTACACAAATCAAGGGCTACAGTTTTTTAACATTTGGCACAATGTCTTGAAAATTCGCTAGAAAAAATTTTTACGCGCATACATGTACATTATTAAATATTTGTCATGTAACTAATAACCGTAGTAATCCATCACCCACCTTCCTGAATTTGAATTGTCAAGCAAGAAAACATGCAAAATTAAATTTCAAATATTTGTAAAACAAAAGAGACATTCATTAAACGACATTCGTACAAATATTACGTTTCCATACCTTTGTAGCTGCCTTTCCTCCTCTGTTGTCATATTAGGCGTCGTGGGTCGAGATGGTTTTTGTGCTCTTAAAGCCTCCCATATATCAACCTTAATTATATGAACGGTAGTGTTAAAATAAATTATGGAAATAATTATTGTTAGCCATTGTTAGACTATTTATACCTCATCGCGTTCACTTCCAACTTCCAACAAGCTTTGTTGTATGGCAAATTGCAACAGATCGTCCTCTTCCTCCATACTGAATTGTGTTCGAACTTCAGCTCCTGCTACATGGAATTAGATTATTACATAATGAAAGGAAATACTTTTTCTAACGAGTTTTGAATGAAAGTTATACTCAATATCTTTCTTTAATGTTTATACAAATATTAAATTTACCTAGTTTCACGTATCCTACTGGTGCTTCGAAACATACGTCATCAACTAAACAAGTTATTCTATTAGTTTCTTCCAAATGCCCTACGTGGGGGATTTGCTGATCCATGCCAAATATATTTCCAAATGTTATCCTGGCGTTTAATATGTGAAACAAAGGAATTTCTACAAAAAAGTATTGATAAAACACCTATGAAATAATGCATTCATTATAAAGAAAATATTACAGTTATAAGCTTACCGATTTTGACAGGAAACCCAGCTGGTAACTGCATTTGAATAAAATCTTTCAATTTTGCAAAATGTGAGCTAGATATCGCCATAAGATCGACGATCGGCATAATTTGTTCTTGAAGACTTAAAGGATACTGTTCACTAAGCCACAAAGTTGCCTAAAATTTTGCACTAAATTGAATGTCGGATCATATAAGCAATGTCAAACCAAAATAATTTTCTTATTGCTACCTTAAATTTTTGAATTTTCGTATTTACTTCTTTCGGCCTACCAATGTCCCTTCCATTCAAATCAATGTCTGGATCGAAATATTCCTCCGCAGTTATGTTAGAAGGATTCCCAGTATTGCTATATTCTTCCTAAAATGGACGGCAAAATGAGTTTCATCGTAATTATGTGTTATAGATAGTAAAACATTTAGAAAAGAAAAATTACACTAGTAGTTGCGCTATTACTGTTTTCTTGCTGCTGTTCCGCCATCCCGAGAAACGATTGAAGAGGTGTACGAGGAGCACGAGCCCGTGCTTTGTCAGGCTCGGATAAATGTTCTAATCGAGTTTTCGTTATTAATTCTACGTTACATGCACTAAACACCTTACACTCATGTCCATTAACTATTTCACTTTTGTCAGAACGCCATCCCCATAAACCAGCTTTGTTGCTAGTTAAATACACATAATTTTCAATTAAACATATGTTCAAGTGCAATATCATAAGTGCTATAAAAAATTAGGAATGATGACATATAATTACCGTTCGAAACTAATTTTATCTGTATCTATATACGTAGTAACTATCGGATTTGACAACCGAGCTAACACACCTTCCTCAGAGGGTTCCATTAATTGCATATCGTCAATATCTACTAGCTTAATGTGTTCAACGTATACTTTTCTCGTTTTATGATCTACCTCCATCATCGTTGCCCCATCATCTGCATACAAAAATTTAATTATTTTTTTTCAATAAAGTCTAGCACGTCTCGCATAGAACTTATAGGAATGTCATTTTCACAATGTTCTACAGATCTATGGTTACTTACTATTTAGTAATTATGTATAACTAGATTGTCTAATTGTAACAGTTTCAATATCTTTCAAGTACCTTTCATTTGATTTACTACTTAAGAGAATGTGAACTCTTACATTAAACTTATATTTACATTGCAACTTGTTAATTACACTTACCATATATAAAGTTCAAATTAAAATTATCTCTAGTTATACAATATTAAAATAATTAAATTACAAGAGAATAATGACAAATAGAAGGATACAGGTATACAAAACAATAAAATGTTTTTCTACAGTTTACAGATAGAAATCAAAATATTAGCTACAATTCTGCACATCGCATTAATTGTAATAGTAATTCCATCACCTGTCTCATGTCCCACCATACTGAATACATAACTCCGTTCACACCTAATTGCCACTGGTACTTGTGATGCAGCTTGCATTTAATATATAAAATTAAAGGATAAATAAAATAAAGATTCTACCGTTATTATAAAAAAAAACTTGAACAGAAAACCTGAAGATTGAAATAAACTTAAACGAACAATAATATTCATGCAAGAATCAGTTTATCCATTACTCACTTTGTCCTTTAAAAACGTAGCTACGATTCCCACGTTGCCACTTCGTGTGATCAAATCCTAACAACGTTGTATCAATTCGCACATTGCTGCCCTGTTTGTATACCTTGTAAGTGTCACTAGGACATATTCTAGAGGCAAGAGGAACTAGTAATAGATAAAACGTTAGTGTAATGCTTATAGTCAAGGTCGATAAAAGCATTAGGTGCATTTATAGTTACCCCAACTTGTAAATTCCCATTTCATTTCTACGTAGAAGTCAGGGGCCTGAAAGCATCATTTGATTCAATTATTTATCTTAGATTCCTTAATTATAAAACTGGTTCACAAGTATTTGAAAATATTTGGCGAGATGCAGAACATTAGAGATAATGAACTCACTTGTTTAAGTTTATGGAGCAACTCTGGAATACCAGCTACCCGATTGCAGTATCTTTGATAATCCCTATGTGCTAGCACCATCTGTATGAGCTCAGGATTTCCTGTGCCAACTGCCTCTTGAACCACTAAAAAGGTAACATGGATCAAATTTCTGTACTAACATTAGCTACATCAACATACCATTAAATAAATCTAAAAACTAAAAGTACGCAGTTATTACCAGTCCATCCTTGAGTGTTCTCCGTATTAACATTTGCTTCATGTTGCAATAATACTCCAACAGATTCAATATGGCTCAAAGTTACTGCTAGCATCAATGGTGTTCTACCTCTATTATCAACTTTCTCAATATCATTCTAAAAAAGAATATGTTATTAAATGTATTTAAATTTGAATGATCAAAGGCTCTATAAATGTAGATAAACTTTAACAGATATTTTTCTAGGTTTTCTTTATTGAAAATGACATTGAATAACGTCAATGATTAACAGTTACCACTGTAGCCCTTTATAAGCTTTATAAGATCAATCAATGATATATATAGGATATGTAATATCAAATGTTACAAGTCAGTGAACATTTATGGTTTCAAACACACAAGGCTTCACGTATGAGGCTCTTTGACAATGTATCAAATGATTTTCTTTTAATCCATCATAAAGTGTAATTAATTTTGGTACAATAATTAATTATTTATTTGCAACATAATTCATCAACTAAAATAACTTAAAAATACACAAGTTACATTGCACTTTATAATTAATAATATTATTATTATACTTTATTTTATTACTATTATTATAATTTATAATTAATGTACGAAAAAAAATACTACATCTCAAATATTAATAGACATATTTTTATCACATGTGTGTACTTATGTACATGTGCATTTATGTATGTACATATACGTGTTGTACTTATTGTTGTAAATGAGCTACTCAAAATGTCAAACATCAAATGCAAACAAACTGACATCTGTCTCATAATAATCGTTTCATAAAAATGTGAAAATAAAACAATTGATAAATAGTCAGTCCTTATAGCTCTGTTGTCATCATCTGTTTGATCACAAGACACAGATTCCGATAACGTTCAACACAATATAACCGAATGACACTTTTTCATTTTTTCTTTCCTTTACTAACCAGTTTTGTTGCTAGTTCCTCCTCGAGTTCTACATAATAGTTATTCCACACGAGCCAATGCAGCGGATAATTCTTTTGTATCGTGTCTATATTCACCATTTCTATGAAGTCTCGTTAAACGCTAACATACAATACATCAACAATTATATTACAAATTCCACGAGTTGTTCGTCGCGCAACACAAAATTTCGCTTAACGAATACATGATACCGAAACGAATAAGCAACGAATGAATATGATCATTCATCGACCGAGGAAAAGGACTAGATAAGAAACCTCAAACGTCATACGAGTGCACGAAGTGACGGAAGGCCGGAAAATTGCAAGCTGCAAGTGGCAAAGTTACACATTCGTTACATTTTCAAAAATCCGTGCTCAAATCTATTCAAATCCAGGATATATAAAAAACGTCATCTTCACAAACTTGAGTCAGACATGGTCAGACAATGGCCGGTATTCAGAGTCGTTGCTTATTCTTAAGATCATTTAAAGCATTTGCTATCCCTGTCTATCCCGTATTTTCAGTCCCTGTGTTGTATAGGAAACGGGGACTTAAGCAAATGCTTAAGGCAATCTTAAAAATAAGTAACGACTACGAAATTACGAATACTGTCCAATAAGTTCCAATAAAAAATGAAATTGAAATGTCATTTCAATCGCTTTTTGATCTTTCTTATCCATTTATACCGCGCTCTAGCAGTTTAAGTATTTTAGATTTAAAATAAATTACAAAACTAAATCATTTACAATCGTTTAATTATAAATTAAGATTATTGGGATTAAAAATAATGATTAGAAAGAACAGTTTTACGAACGCGACAGTGTCGCTCGTTCCGTACTACATACTACATACCAAAGGATACTACATACCGAAAACCCGGATTGTCGGGCACCGATTGACGTCACCGATAGGCGGCCAAGATGGTTGTCAATGTTGATAAGTGGTTTGGTTACACGGCGAGTCAGTGATAAGCCCTGAGCCCGCGACCGATAGGAGCTCCGTGCGAACAAAATTATGCCTGTGAAATAGGGAAGCGAATTCGCGGAACGTAACAAGGGGCCGTCATCGTGGGCTGATCGTGGCGCGGGATGGCGAACAGTGAAGATGCGGAACAAGAAATTCGCCGAGCTTTAGACGTCGTTCAATCCATGATTGACATCTCCGCTGACCGACTCGAAGGCTTGAGGACACAATGCTCGACCAGCGCGGAACTCACCCAACAAGAAATTCGAACGCTCGAGGTATATTAAACATATCCGCGACTCGTTCGGTCTTTCATCGTTCTTGGGTTTTATCTCCAGCATTACGATCGCCTTGACCTCGTGAAAAGTTGTTTTGTATAGCTGTCAACAAGTTTTGCAAATGCAATTGTCGTTTTGTTTGTCTCGAAAATTATGTATTGTGTTCATCGCCAGTTCGTACAATTAATTATTTTGTACATTTATACTGTTATTTGGCATTATTTTATTATACTATATTATATTTTTACAACTTTTAGACTGGAAATTTAAAAAAATATTATGTTTTTCGAGATTGTATTTCATTTATGGTGCTGGGAAAATTCTATTTAATTTTTTTCGTAGATATTATAGACATTATATTACAAGAAGAAAATTACATGTTTTTTTAGGGGAAACTCATCAAACTATATTCAAAACAACTTGTAAACAAAGCCCAATTGGCTTTAGAAAAGTCATTGCCTCCAGAGATGAAACAGTATCCATCTTTGCAACAATGGTTAAGGGTAGTAGGACTTACCCAGGAGTCGATCCAGGTATAAATAAACTCTTAAAACTGATTTCATTATTTCTCTTCCACTGCTCACTGAAGCTTCAATTTCTTACATTTCTATCATATTTTAGATGATTTGTTCTAAAGCTACCTCACTTGAAGCTCTGAAGGAAAAATCTGAGCATGAGTTAGGTAGTATGTTGGGAGAGAACAATGTTAAACATGAAGAGGAATTACGTTTACTTTGTAGGGCATTGCGCAATCTTCGTCGATATATGGGTAATTTTCATTTTTACAATATTTATTACTTTCAGCATATTAGAGATTATATACTTGCAATATTGTATTCTACACAGACGTTCTCCTAAAAGGAGATATGGACAACAGTGATATGAAATTATATTGGGATTCCTGGGATAGACATCATTTACTTACTGGAGCGTCTCCTAAGCCAGCAAGATCTCGTGCAACAAGATGTTCTGTTCCTTCTGAAGACAGCATTCCATATCATAATAATAACAACAATCTTAACAGTGATATATTAGCACAGGCTTCTTCTGTTACATCTTTATCATCAACTAGTCCTCCTACCACCCCCCTTTTACAAAGGCCAGGATGTGGTAAAATCCTTAAATCAATCGCTTTTATTGTTTTTGGGTACTATTGACTTCCGTTATAACGTAAACTGTTTTTAAACAGGAATCAAATTTCCAACAACTCCTCCTCCTTGTAAAAAGCATCAAATAGGTTTACAAAATACAATATCACAACCAGAAGTGTTTCCTCTAACTAAGTCAAAGTCTCATGAATCGCAATTAGCAAACCGTCTTGAAAATGGTGATACAGCTTCAAGGTAAAATAACTCAATATATATTATTTTAGCAACTGATGAATGTTAGTATAATACAATATACAATAGTTATTATTCGGTTTTTAACAGTTGTGGAAATGACCCTGTTGGTACTGTAGGCAGAAGAAATCGTTTACCTACAGAACCTGGATCTTGTAGTAATAATGCAGATATTACAGGGGAAAATCCCTTTCTGAATAGTAATAGTCCAATTAAGTCACCACCTTTTTCTAGTGCAGAAAGCGACGATAACAGTTTTAAGGGAACAGGTGAAGATACTGTCTACCATATAAAAGAAACTTAAAAAGTCTCTGAACATACAAAAAGCTATTGATCTTTTTATTCCTTTTTAGTAACAAGTCTCCAAGTGCCAAAGTCACCACGTACTCCGACTGTAACCCGGGGAATGGGCCATATAATTGCTCACCGCTTTACCAAAACGTTTAAGATGATGACAACGTGCGACTATTGCGATAAACAAATGTTTATAGGCACCGGTTTGAAATGCAAAGAATGTAAATATAAATGTCATCGAGATTGCGAATCCAAAGTACCACCATCCTGTGGCCTACCTCAAGAACTCTTCGACGCGTTTAAAAGAACCGTTCAAGCTGACAGTACGTTTACAAAATTTGTTAAAAAATCGAGTTCTTTTGTTACATCATTTCTAAATCCTATGTGAATCCTTAGGTATGGCAAATGTTTCTCCAATACTAAGTAAGCCAGGTATAACGTCTCCCAATCATCATAATTCGAATTTATTGAGCTCTTTAAATCGAAGAGATCGAAAACGATCGCATCCACATTCTTCTATGAACATAGCTTTTCAGGTGCGTTAGAATGACAATTTCGGTACATAGTTCCTACAAGTTGATGTTAATAAATTTTGGACGTGTTTATTAGGGCGCGGATTCTAGTTCAAATACCTCGAGCTGTAACAGCTCAACGCCTTCTAGTCCAGCTTTGCTACCTGCCAATACTAGCCAAACTCCACAGGCACCTGCCAAACAACAGTTCCATTTTCCAGGTACTTAATCCACAGCATGTTTCATTGAGTCTTTTACGATATAAATCATTTTCAGATGTCATGCTCAATGAGAAAGGTGTGACACTGGAGACTCACCGACTCGAAGGTACTACCATGTCAAGTGATAGTGAGAGAACAGTGAGCGTTTCGGGTTCTGGAAGTGTTAGCACGGACTCGGAACGAACACCTGTTAGAGTCGATTCCCAAGATTCTCAAGTATCTGACGGCGAACCTGGAGATAGCCGCTGGCCAAGACAGAATAGTGTACGTACATGTAATTTTGTAATATATTTGTGTGTGTATGTTATCATAAATTAAGTGATATAACATTACAGTTATCTATACGTGAATGGGACATTCCTTACGATGAATTGAAAATTGGAGAACCTATAGGTACTGGAAGATTTGGTACAGTGTACCGAGGCTATTGGCATGGTAATGTTGCGATTAAAGTCCTGAATATGGATTACTATTTAGACGATGACAAAACGTTGGAAGCATTCAAGTTGGAGGTATATACAAATAGTTATATTGTTCCTCATAATTCGAATGCTTTCACTAATACGATTTAGCGCAATTGCGAAGAATATAAAATTTCATACGTACTTATTTAAATAGCTTGTTCTAACGCCTATGTATCAGCTTATATGTAGCACAAACCAATTGACTAATCACAGTAATAATCAAATACAGTTGCACTAATTTTCTAAAGTTCAGATATTGATATACTGTTGTCTTGTAACGATTAATACAGAAGTTATTACATAAAGCATGAGATTATGGTCTATTATAACATAGTTTTATTGTTAATACTGTATTTATTGAGATTAAATGACCTTTATTATTGAAATTATTTTACTCAAATTTATAGGTGGCTACATTCCGAAAAACTAGACACGAAAATCTAGTTTTATTTATGGGAGCTTGCATGAAGCCTCCGCGCTTGGCGATAGTGACTAGTATGAGCAAAGGCATGACTCTTTACACTCACATTCATTTGCGTAAAGATAAATTTAATATGCATAAAACCACTATCATCGCTCAACAGATTTCTCAGGTATATTCACAAAGGATGTTAAAATAATTTTTTTAATTCTATTAGATTTGTTGCTTTCACTGATAGGAAAGAGTTCTTTCTAATAAACCTTTTAAATATTTAGGGAATGGGATATCTCCACGCTCGAGGCATAATTCACAAAGATCTCAAGACCAAAAACATATTTTTTGAAAATGGAAAAGTTGTAATTACTGACTTCGGCTTATTCAGTGTTACGAAGCTTTGCTACGCAAACAGGTAAGTCTTGTATCCAATTATATTTAATAAAAAAATAATCATTTTAAATTTTGTTTACGGGCAGAAAGGGAAATGCGCTGAGTATACCGCCTGGCTGGTTATGTTATTTGGCTCCTGAAATTGTCCGACGACTGAAACCGCAACAGAATCGGGATCAGGAAGAATTGCCTTTTACAGAAGCTTCTGACGTTTATGCATTTGGGTACGTACAACAGGATGACTTAAAACACATCTATTTGATATTAATTTTTCTAAAATTTGTCAAAATTACTATAGAACTGTATGGTATGAGCTTTTGTGTGGAGAATGGCCTTTCAAAGGACAACCTCCTGAGGCAATTATTTGGCAGGTTGGCAAAGGCATGAAACAAACTTTAGCTAATTTACAAGCCTCCCGTGATGTAAAGGTATAAAGTATAACATTGAACTATATAATCAAATATTAAAAATAATAATAAATTCGTAAGACGTTTCTGATTATTTATTATCAATTTCTTTAAACATTTATAGGACATCTTAATGCTTTGTTGGTCGTATCACCCAGAAAAACGGCCCGACTTTGCAAAATTGTTAACTACTTTGGAAAAGCTGCCTCGCAAAAGGTTAGAACGTAGTCCTTCTCATCCTATACATCTTTCTCGTTCTGCAGAATCCGTGTTTTGAATACATTTAAGTCTATTTAAATACACTGTTGTTCTCGTAGTGTAAATATAGGACTGCGCAATTATTGCCAGATCTTTGTTCGTCGAAAAAGTAAAATAATAATCACTGAAAGATTTATCCTGTTTGTCCTTCATTTAGTTTAAATGAAACATCATTAAAAATAAACGTGATGAAAAAGATCACCGATGTTTTATTTCTCAAGTACATACATCTTTCAGTATACTGAATTGTATATTATGATAACGAATAGTGCAAAATTTAATTATTCGCCATCATAAAGTAAAAAAATACTGGACTTATATTGCATTTATGCATATAACATATCATAATATAAACGAAGAAAAAGAGAAGCACTTTTAATAACAACAGTTCTTATCCGTTGCATACGCCTTGTAGCTCTTGCAGCTGTTTCCGGAGGTATGCAGCGCGTAATTTATTTAAAGCTAGTCTCTTCTCGAACGTCAATATTAAAGGCTTAGTAATTATGTCAGTTATGTGGACCAGTGCTCGCGTCCTCACTGTAATTTTTACCTGATTTAGTTTCTTATTTATAATAAATAAAAATATATACTAAGATAAACTAACCAGCATCATTGTGTATGTTGACAAGAATATCTTGTTGGTCTTTGCATGTTTCTGCCATCTCTTCTTCCTCTTGAACAAATATTTTTATTAAATCCGTCATTGTCTGAAAAAGGTTTCAAGATCGAACGATTATGAATGAAGTCTAATTACAAGTTAAGTAAGCGCATATTATGCAACAACTTACTTTCAAACATGTGTTTGATATCATTGGTGTGTGTACAATTTCTAGTGGAATTTCCACTTCTTTGTCATTATGAGATTGGAAACAAATTAAAGAGATCTCTTGTTCCTGAAGAAAATGTTTTGAAATGTGAGAATGAGACGATATTGAATTATCAATTTATTAGTTACCTTCGATTCTTTATTCTCTGAAAATACTGAGAATATTAAACCCACAAAACTAGGATCCATCATTTGATAACTCGTTTGCGTTCTACAATCTAAAGAAAAGTTTCTTAATATGAAAACGATAATTTACAGTTGTTTCCATTCGTGCATAAAACAATTTTGGTGTACTGACCAACGTGAGATGGACAAACCGTGATGTGTGGATGAGAATGATACCATCCTAGAACACGTACAGGACGTTGTAATTCTTTTTTCAATTGTTCTGCCACATCACAAGCTTTTGCTAACTGTTCTGACGAAATTTCTACCCTGTCTTTCTGTTTATCTAAACGATTCAAGATAATAACTGCCATAATCTCTGCAACGCTGGACTCTGTCTAATATAAATCATTGATGAAGTAGATGTCTTCTTGTCATAGGTATAAAACATACAAAATAATATATATACATATATATATACATACATTTCCAAGGAGCAAGCCCATTACTTCAAACTTTTCTGTTGATAAAGCATGTTGTAAGCATACCATATATACATCAGTCTGTAATTGTACTTTTTTTAATGCTAACGTATCCATCTCGTTAATCTTTGGCACAAGGAGAAATCAGTATTTATAACACAAATAGAAATCTGGAATTAATTGTCATATGACACATTAATTTTATGAATAGAAGATATAAACCATTAAAGTAAAACCTAACTGATTATCAGTATTATCACTGAATATATATATTTATATTAGTATATGTGTTACAAACTTCAAATTATTCTTTCAAAAGCTACACATGATGGTTAACAATGTATGAGTGAAAAGACTAAGTAATATTTGGTGTTTATTTCTGTTCATATAGTAACAATTGTTAATAATAAATGATCAATATTCTATTTGACGTGTATACGTGTATACTAGAGATGGCGTTCAAAAGCACTAACCGTGAATTTTCTAGAGATTTCGTTCAAAATTACTAACCGTGATTTTTCACGGTGATCACAAAATCACGATCACGAGTCGTGATTATACACGGCTGTGATTGCGATTTTCTGTATTAAATGGCCTCCCTATAATCATGATATTCACATCTATTCCATATCTGCTAAAATTGCCTGAAACAGTTTATAATGTATGAACTATCTGATATGATTTAAAAGAAATTACTAATTATTTTGTAAAATGGGTAAAAAATACATAATGGAAATTATAATAAGTATGTACAATTGTACGTATGTATAATTTTTATTTTACTACTTCGTGTATTATACAGGGTGTCCCAAAACTAGTGTAAGATATTGAAATGGGAGGTTCCTGGCGTAATATTAAACAACATTTTCCTTAGCAAAGAAGTTGTCCGAGACGTGGTTGTCGAGTTATTAACGAAAGACCAAAACTTAAATGCAAGAGCAACTAAGAAACTGATTACAAATCAGAGAAAACAAAGCAATTAGTCGTTAGTTATGTTCATTAAATAGATGCATCACATTCAATTAGCTAAAGTTATAAAAAATGGGGAAAGAATTAGAGTTGAATTGAGTCGTTTATCTTTAAGTTTACCTACACAAGACCTATAGCTCGCTGAAATTAGAACACCTTCAAAACAAATAACAAAAATAGTGGGAAAGATTCAGTGAAAAATAATTCTTAAATATAAGTTTGAATATTTTACATATAATATCCATTTCTTCATACACTTCTTCAAGTTGAACATACAGTTTTACGTCCTAGTGAAACTTTGATTGCATACCCCGAAAAAGATTGCGTTTTACAAAAATTTCGAACTCTAGAACAGCGTACAAATCTAATATAGTAAAGTACAAAATATCATTCCATATTGAATTTTGTACCCATGAGAATACAAAATAAATAATTTAAATAATAAGTAACGAATAAATAATGAATTTCGACTACTTTTTGTAAAGTACATTCAAATTTAAGTCGTTCACTTTTTGAATTGACGTAATTACAGGTCTTTTTTTTATTGCTTTCAATTTTTTTCTTCCGTTGTTCTCTCTTCTGCCATCATGACGTGTTCTCTTTTTAATTGCGACGTTAAAATTTTCATCGTCTTCGGAAGTAATATATACATACTTCCGCTTCCATTTTCCGGTAGACATATTTAATGTTCCCACGTTGACATTCATATTTCTACCGTATTTTTCAACCATTGTTTTAAACTTTGCATTCTCGGAATTTGAAACTGGAATTAGTATTTTAGATTCACTTCTATATCTTTGCCGCAATTTTCTATTCATCAATATAGTATACATAGACATTGTTATATTATATTTATTATTGCTGCTTGCATCCTGCAACTTGCAGGATGCAGTATTTCACTCACTTTCCGAGTTCGTTGCCTGATTTTCATCGTCCGCCGGTCGAAGATATTTCTTAACTTCGTCGTAGCTCAATCCTCTAACAAATTCATGCCACAGAAAATCATTATGACCTGATGGAACCCATCTGTACAAATTCGGATCGGCAATTGGATCGTAGCTTCTCACATTTATAGTGTATCGCTCCGACTTTTTGGTACACGGATACGTTCTGACCGTATTTTCTCTTCCTAAAACCCAATTATTAATTAATATTATACACGCTATTTTTTTAGACTCCCAAGTTCTTAAAACTAAAATCATGTCGCAAAGAATTACAAAAAATCACAAGTATGTGTTATTAAATAATGTCATTAATACGTTAAGCGTCTTGTCAGTCACCGATGATTGATAGCATATATTTTCCCTTCAGGTTGCATCAGTTACTGTTGACTATGTACAATTTAAAAAATTATATTCTTCTATTAATAAATTTTAAATAATCTGAAGATTATAAGAGGACGCACCTAAATATATTATGAGTACTTGTTAAGTAAAAAAGAATTTAATAAATATTATTAAAACACTTAACGACTAATAAAATAATTAACGGCTGAACAGAAACGAAAAAACTGGTTTGGCGTTTAACGTGTTAAGTATGATATAAATATACTTACTTAGTACTAACGGTGGTGACTCCACCTCATCATTATCGATTAATCGAGGTAACAAACTTTCTGCAGGTAGTGGTATATATTCCTCTCTCAAGCTAATTCTCTTTGGAGTTTCACTTCTTCGCGTTCCTAATCCGCGAATTGGTGATTCCAAACGATCATGAAAGAAAAGAGTAGCTCTTCGAATTTCTTCCGGAGATCGCAGATCGATAAAAATATCATCGCTCTCGGGTAACTGCGGAGATTGTTGAATATTTTTTGAAGATCTTGCATCTCCAAAGACAGCATCGTTCTTTGATTTAGAAATGGATTCCCTTCTCGATGATTTTTGTAAGGTTTTTTCAGTACTTCCTCTTTCTATCTCTAAAGACCTTTTCTGTCTTTTCGCTGATACTGTTTTTTCTTCGACTCCAAAACTAAGTCTTTTTGGACTCACTCTGCGTTTTGTACTCCTTCGTCTTGCTGATCCAAGAATCGGTGATGCTGCCCGATCTTCAATGAAATTAGTACCCCTTTGAGCTTCTTCTGGGGATCGCAGATCGATAAAAATAACATCGCTCTCGGGTAACTGCGGAGATTGTTGAATATTTTTTGAAGATCTTGCAACTCCTAAGACAGCATCGTTCTTTGATATAGATATAGACTTCTTTATCAAAGATTTTTGTAAAGTTTCTGTGGTAGTTTCCCATTCCTTGCTAATTTCTTTCCGCAAAGATATCTTCCTCTTTCTCTTCAACTCTTTTTTACCTTTCGGCTTTGTCTTTTCTTTTCGTTGTTTTCTCTGCCTTTTTATACCCTCAGATGAACTTGTTTTAATCTCCGAAATACTTGTATTACATGGAAGTAGAACTCCTTTTCTTACCGGTGTACTGCACGAAACCACAATTCCTTTATGTTTAAAGAACCGTCTCTTAGGTATCTTCTCAGACGAGGAAGAAGACATTTTGTACCCCGTGTATTTTCTAATGTAATCTGTTCAATCATTGATTCGTATATTATTTTTCTGTTAATTTACGTTACAATTTTCGCAAATCAAAAACTCTATGTTCGATGTTCGTTCGCTTATCGATACTTCTTTTAAAATTGATACATTCATTGTTCCTGTGCAATTAATAACTTGAAAACTTCGTACTTAACAATCATTTAGCATTTGCAAGAAGTAGTAAATGTTATAAAGGGGAACATGGGCGTGCGACTAAACGTATCCGCGACTTTGAGTTTCAGACTTGGCAATAAGCCTAAGGAACTACTATTGCAACCTTACATTGTATAAGGTCGTAGTTTACACGGTAGTACGTTTATTTCATATATAGCACGTTTCATTGTCATATGAATAACAACAACAACACGTTTCAGTATGATTACCGAACAAGTGTGTTCCATGGTTGCTTATCAAGATCGGCATGTTTGATTTTCCATTAGGAAAATTGTATATGCTATTTTACTATGAAGATTAACATCTTCCTCGCGTGTTTCTCCTTCCCGGTATACATGAAACATTTTCCGTGAAGACTCATTAGTATATATGATTAGGGTATGTTAGGGCCGAAAAATCGATGGGACGGTAAAAAGAGAAAATTGCTAGATACTTAGTGATATCTAATGTAACATTATATTTTTCATAAATATTTATTCCACGAGTTTTGTATAATGACCGAATCTTAACGTAAAACAACAGAATATTTACACTTTCGTTTTACCCTACTTATTTCTGATTTAGGCGCCATTAGGTGACCAGCCCCTTCTTGGAGGGTTACTATCCTTTTTCTTCTATATTTTTTAAGGACTATTAAAAAGCGTAACGGCATTTTTATACTTTCGCGCTCATGATATTTGCTTTTTCAAGTATAATTTGTTGAAGCGGAGAGCTGGTTTGTTAAATCCTGAAGGAGAAGAACCATCAAATTATCTCAGATTCGCAGATATTAAATTTAAATTGTACAAAATCAATTTATATCGATCTCGATTAGGTATATCGACTCAGTACGATGTTAATTTGTGTTCAGGGCGCTATGGCCGATATTCAAAGTCGTTGCTTAATTTATCTGAAAAAAAAACTGTAGAGAATATTTTTCTCTATATATTTTAATTGTAGAGAATACAACTATTTTTGCTGTTTAAATGGAGGAGATTTTTTGAACCATAATTGTTCGTCTAAAACAAATCAAATCGTCTAGACAATTCTGCGGTTAAAATGAATGAGACTTAACGGGACTTAACGTTTCCTGCACCTGCAATGTATGCTATATATTATTTTACTTCATGGCGAATTCCGATTCATAACAATATCGAATTTTTCTCGACAAATTTTTAGAAGTACCTGGAAAACATTTTGCGTACGTCCAATTGTTTAATAATTATAGACGATTAATAATGAATACGTTCCGGAAATAACGGTTTTCTTAAATCGATTATACAGTTGAACGAAAACCGCTCGAGATGAAATGTCGGAGACGTGCGTAGCGTTCAAAGCTGGCGATATATGCAACGATCAATAACATCTGATTAATTTCCATCATATTAATAAATGACAGACAGAATGGCTAGTAGAGAAACGTCGATTAATTCAAAGAACTCTGATGATCACAGTGTTGAGGTTTGTAAATTGACAATGCTTCTCGAGATTTTAACAACTTCTTTTATCAATATGTGCAGCAAGTGTACAGGTTTATTACTCTATTAATGGAAGTTTCAATACATTTCTATTTATGTTTTAGACATTAGCAGAAGTCTTCCGATGTTTCATTTGTATGGAAAAATTGAGAGATGCTCATCTCTGTCCGCATTGTAGCAAATTATGCTGCTACACATGTATTAGACGATGGCTCACAGAACAGCGTTCTCAGTGTCCCCACTGTAGAGCTTCCTTGCATTTACATGAACTAGTGAACTGCAGATGGGTGGAAGAAGTAACACAGCAGCTTGACACACTTCAAGCTGTTGGTATTTCAAATTCTAGACATGACGATTCTAATAGGGACAGGTACTGCTTTTTGTGACTTTAGCTTTTCTTCTGAATATTAGTGTTTATTATATATCTTGTTAAACAGGTGTACTGTACATCACGAGAAACTATCTGTCTATTGCTGGACATGCCGCAGATGTATCTGTCATCAGTGTGCCCTTTGGGGTGGCACTCACTCAGGGCATACTTTTAAACCATTAGAAGAAGTTTATGAACAACATGTAACACAAATCAAAGCTGAAGTAGGTCAGTTGAAAAGACGATTGATGGAGCTGATAAGTCTTGTTCAGGATGTGGTACGTTTCACGAGGAAAAGGCAAAACATTAAATACCTTCAAATTACAAAATAATTTAATTCATCTGATTTTTCTCCAGGAGCGAAACGTCGAATCTGTAAGAGCAGCTAAAGATGAAAGAGTTAGAGAGATTAGGAATGCAGTGGAATTGATGATAGCCCGACTTGATTCTCAATTGAAAGCCAAGTTGTTGACACTAATGGGTCAAAAGAATTCCTTGACATTGGAAACGGAACAGTTGGAAGCCTTGTTGCAAGAGGTAGAGCACCAGTTGCATACTTCCACTCGTTCCGAACTTATAATCAAAAGCGCAGATGTTTCGCGTACGATACATCAAGTGCGAAAAAAGCCAATGACGAGTTTTGTAACGGCTCCCGTTCCAGCTGATTTTCACAGGTATTCATTGTTAACCTTTGGCAATATTTCATTTAATGTACTGTTTAACTTTATAAAAAAATAATTTATTTTTGTAGTGAAATTGTTCCGGGATACGATAGTGCTACGTTCGTGATGCAAAATTTTACGCAATTACAATTAAAGGCAGATCCAGTGTATTCTGCACCCTTGCATGTTAATGGTTTGTGTTGGAGATTAAAAGTATATCCCGATGGGAACGGCGTTGTACGCGGAAATTATTTGTCAGTCTTCTTAGAATTAAGTGCTGGTTTACCAGAAACGTCGAAGTACGTATACGGGGTTCTATTCTTAATTGACACCAATATCATTTAAAACAAAATTGTTTGCTTAGATACGAATATCGAGTTGAAATGATTCACCAAGGATCTCGAGATACAAGTAAGAACATAGTTCGTGAATTCGCTTCCGATTTTGAGATCGGTGAATGCTGGGGTTACAATAGATTTTTCAGATTAGATTTACTCGCAACCGAGGGGTACTTAAATACCGAATTGGACACTCTTATATTACGGTACGCGAGATACGCGATGTGATCTGATTACGTTGTTATTAAATTGTAATGTAAAATTAATTAATAGATTCCAAGTACGTCCACCAACGTTCTATCAGCGTTGCAGAGATCAACAATGGTACATCAGTCAATTGCTTACTGTCCAAAATCAATACGCCACTCAGATCAATGAGCTAAAGGAGGTAATTTTCATCATGTGTATATTATACATATATCAATTGGAAGAGAAGTAAATATTCAGTCTCGCATTTGTGCACAAATTCGTATCATTTGCAGAGATTGGCAATCGAAATATCACGCAATGCTATGGCAGCAACCAGGGTACCCAGCGGAGCTACATTATGTGGATCAATGTCAAACGTGATGCCTATGGTAATGCAATCCCAAGCTGCCGGTGATCCATTACTTAATACCAATTCTATTCGCTCAACTGAAACGTATCAAAATGGAACATCTACAAGGTAAATGATCATCTTTCTTATCCGAATTAGTATTTTTAAGGGTCTCTATTTCACTAATTTTATTTTATTTTTTCATCAACAGATCGGTACAGAATGTTTCTGGTTCTGGTGGAAGTAATGGTGTTTCATCAGATCAATTGATGCCCATGTGTGAATTGGGAGAGCTTTCAAATATGCGCCCACTTGGTTCATCCTCGACGTTATCTTCCATTTCGTCGAAAACGAGTTTGAAACAGCATAGACCGAATAATTTAAGCGTCATCGAAGCTGAGTCGCCTAATCTGCATAGCACGAACGATGGTTCTGCGGGAGATTGTCCGGCTACGAGTGCTCATTCACCGTCACCGTCTTACTCTTCGCCGACGGTGCTTAATCAACAACCGTTGAATCTTCTTTCTAGTAGCAGCAGTAGCGATAGCGGTGTATGGGACTTAAATTAACAGATATTGAAGGTTGATTTCACATGTATTCGATTTAAATTAATTTCATGCGATTTTTGCAGGAATTGAGTGAACACGATATATATTTAGATGAATGCGAACATAATGAACCGCATTTGACACTGCCGGATGACAATTCTAATGATGAAAACGACGTGGACGACGAAACGATGTCAGGTATGGTATATGTTTCTGTCATTATTTGGTTTAACTATGTATTTAGTGTCAGGTAGACATATTTGTAGACATTTGATTGATTAATGATAACGTAATAACGTACTAAATTAGGTACAAGTTCAAACAGAGGTTCTGTAGATGATGTGCAGAGACATAGGCAACGCGAAAGCAAGTTTGATAAAGGTGTTGAAAACGAAAAACCCACGAATGAGAAACAAGATGAAGATTTCGTGAAAGAGAATGCTAATTCCCATACTCCCAATCGCTTTCAAACCGTTCTATAAAAAATACTCCGTCTTCTTTGCAAATTAACATCTGTCCCCTTACCTTACGTGATCTTATAATAAGAAATAAATATTTCCGTATATGTGCTACAATAATCTAAAGCACAGAAGTGCTTTAACTTTTATTTGCGTACTTCGTAATTTACTTGAATTGATCATTCAGAAGTTTTATGCATTTTCCTTTTTTCATAGTATCGTTTCATCAATGAAAATATGTTTATAATGACATTATTTGTGCAGGAGAAAATGACGTAGAGGTTGCAGAATCCTTAACACCTTGGATTCAGAATAAACAACGTACAAAGCAACAAAGCAACCGGGATAGTACAGGAGACAGTTGCAGGTATGTTCAACCGCGCCTCTACGATTAACGGCTACATAATTTCAAACAATTTAATTCGGTACTCTAGATTACGAGGCAATGATAGCTTGGAAGATGAGATTATGCTATTGCATTTATTCGAGATGCAGGATCGAAATTCTGCTTGGACATCTCTCTGTTTTAATCAGCATGTAGATGATACCTGTGATTCAAGACCATCGTTGACAAGTTTACAGCGGCATAATTCTAGCCCTTCGCACTATAACGCAACACTGCCAAGTCACGGCCCGTCCGCATTTTCACACAAGCATCACGAACTTGATCCCTCGTGTAACGAACAGTTCATTGATAAACGTTCCACGTGTCCCTCGCATCTTTGCCTGCCTGAGATGTCATGGAACATTCATAGATCGAAATTGATTCCCCAGCAGGAAATTTCTGGACTTATAGCCTGTGGAAGTCAAACAAGATCTGAACCGACGACCCGCTCAAATTCTATAGACTGTGAAAAAGATCTTCCAAAGATATCTACGGTCAATAAAGTTAATCACGAGGTAGATTCATCCAGATCAGATTTGATAGTGCCAAATGGTAAGTAGTACTTATATTGGAAAGTTTTCATGCGATTTACATATGCATACAGATATTATAGACAGACGTCTTGATAATTTTTTCAGTAGTACTGGATAGTAATAAAATTGTATCGAAACATTTATTATTGCGACGACAATCGTCACCATCATCGTCTACCAATATCAGCATTATAAATAACGAGAATAAGATATTCGAAAATAATAAGATATTTGAGCAATTAGTGGAAGCTTTTCAATTATCCCCGATGTCACCAAAAGACACTGCCAATTGTTTTACCAAATTAAGGTATCGAGATACGTTCTGCGATTATTTAGAAATACGTATGAGTTTTATTGATAACATTCGAAAATCACGTTTACAGAAAAAATGTCCCACCAGAGGGTAAATCTACTAATTGCAACACTGCCAATATCAAACCTACTACACTATCATTGGGACATGATGTCCCATCTTCGTCTACGAGTAGTGCGACGACAGATACTATTCCGAGCCCTAAAAATTATAGTTGGGCCCCAGCGTTGTATCAACATAAGTATAGTGAGTTTATGATCATGGTTAACGCCTTGCGGAGTTTAAAGGAATAGGAAATTATTTGGAATGTTTCATTTCAGGTCAGAAGAACTGTACTGGAATCTTTCCAAGTAATACTGTAGAAACATCTTCCAATGACACTTCCAACAAATGTACTGCGGAAAAGTAAATAGAACTGTTTCTTTGTTTTTGGATAGATATTATTCACATATATTTTACAATTTTATGTTTCATTACTAACATTACAGATCGTTAGAAGAGACTAATTCGTGAAGTTTACCCTGAACTGCGCTTTTCGTTGAGTGTTACAAACGTTCTGTGATGTTTTCTATTTATCTAAACTTAAATATTATTAGAAATTATGGAAAAGCAATAAACGCTGAAAATCTAGTATTTGAATATTTTGACGTGGTAAGTAAAATACTGTAGCAAGATCAATATTTCGTAACAGGTATTAACACTTTAAAGCTGTTTAATAACAATTTGGTAATAGCTCTAAAACAATATTTGAATCCTAATGAAACATTATTAATATTGATAATTGATTCTTTCAGATTAAAAATTACATATAAATCATCATTCCATTCTGTAGTTTGATTTATATTGTTTATCACTATTTATTGTACGGTACGTGTTGTTATAAATGTAGAGAAATTCTAATTACTTAGCACTAGATTCGAATATTAATATATTTTGCAGTATGAAAAAATATATTCCATGCGTTGTATGTGGTTATGGTGTTATAAGTATTATGAAAAACAAATTTTTTATTATTTTTATTCGATTGTTTATGAATATATACTCTTAAAATGAGCACAGCCCATGACAGCAAAAAAATAAAGATGAAAATCAATACATGTATAAATATCTTTTGCCTTTTTATCTTTTTCATGCTTGAATCATCAAATCATATTTTAAATACATTCGAGCAAGTTCATATGAACAAAATCATGCATAGCATTACTGATTGAAATATTCTATTTATTGAAAAGCACGAGTCTCTGAATTACAGCCCAGGTTTTGGTGCTTATAAAATTCGCGTTACACTTATACGTATAATAGAATAAATGTTGCCAATACATGAAAACACGTCTCACTCTTATCACAGATAAAAACTATCGTACATATTTATATTACACAAGAACGTGATTAAGAGTTAGGTGTTCCATGTTTTTAAAATAATTATTGTACAGTATCATCACAACCGCGTTTATACTGAATTTGAAATAGTTAAAAAACTTTCATTCACTTCTTTACAATACGAATTACCATTATATAATATAACTAAGCGCGTTAATACACCATAACTCGTCACTTCGAATAAATAAAAAACTGATACATGTGAAGATATTTACATAATAGAGATAATCTACACGAAATCGTCTATAAATTTCACTAAACAAACTTTAATACATACAGTTTTAGTTGTATATTTGTGTACGTGAGAATGGAAATATTAAATTAATTTCTACTCGTTTCGAAATATTTAAAATCAAAGTCGGATTGGCTTGTGATGCTTCTACTCAGCATGAAATATTTAATTTCTATTGTCGGGGATATAAAAGTAAATCAAGTCTAGTATAAGGGAAAGGTGACTTACGTCACTTTCATTTTCACGTACATGTTTAATACTATGATGTAAATCAATCAGCTTTTTCTTTTTTGGTTTATGCAATAAATATCTTAAGAAGTAATACAAAT